GTCTCCCCTAGTACCTATGATCTGGGCGTACTACAATTGACTACGACAGTGATGTCGTAGCGAAGGAAAATGAAATATTAATTAAAATATGAATAAAATCAAAACGAAAATTAAAATTCCAAAATTTTACTGCAGGAATTTATAATTTTTTTCGAAAATTCGATACATCATGCCTTCATTTCTAAAGAAAGCGGGTAGGAGTTCTTTGGGGGTATAAATTTTCCAAATACTTACATAATTATGAATGAAATTTCACTTTTATTTCATTTTAATTAGTTCTTTGGGGTAGTTGGATTTTCCAGAGTTTTGTAGTAATTGCTCTTCGATTTTTGCGTTGGAGTTTGTTAAATTTCCAAAATTTTGACACAATTTTTACTCTATTTTCAAATATTCCAAATCAGTTATATTAAATTAGAAAATAAAATATTTAAATACCAAAATAACATTCCAGAATTTTTCTTGAACAACGAAAAATCAAGAAAGATTTTTAATTTTGCCCGGGGAAATTATATTTTTGTTTTGTAAATTTGAATCATTAATGAAATTTTACTTTATTTTACATATATCAAGTTTGGTCAATTTTATTTTTGAAGTTTGTACTTTTCATAATTTTAATAAAATTGTTATTTGACACCTAAATCTTACAAAAATTTAGAAATAAAATCTAGATAAAAATAAAATTAAAGAATTTTGCTTGAAATTATGTATAATTTTATCGATTTGTTAAATTATTTCAGAAAATGAAAATTTCAGAATTATAATTTTTTTTAGAAAATTCAATACAAAACGAAAATTTGCTCATTCATTTTATGACAATTATATTCATGGGTACCAGAGAAAAGTGGATAAGCCTCCTAAAGGAGACCTAAAAGGTTTAACTCCATAAGCATGCGTAAGCCACGTTGAGAGCCAATAGCAGACGATGGCGAGGTTTTCACGTTTTTTGCCCATAACCTCTCAGTTTTTTCAGCTTATTAAACAATCACAAATATACGTTTGTTTCCATTTTGGCGTCCAACCTGTACAATTGCATTTTCGACAAAGTTGAACTCCGAAAATTTAAAAAAGACATGAATAATATTTAATTTAAAAACTTTTCTGATTGGCTGTCTGGGGGTGGGAGGGGTCGAAAACCACGCCGTCCTCTGTTATTGGTCCTGGCTTCTCAACGTGGCTTATGCATTTTTAATACACTGCATCTTCTATATGAATGTATATTCAATGCAGTCAAGGAAAGAGGGTAAGATTTAGCCGAAGAAGAGCTAATTTTAGCTCCGGCTTTATTTAGCCGATCCGGAGCTAAATTTAGCTCCGAAAGGTAAATCTTGCTCCAAATCTTCCGCCAAATTTAAATTATTTAGTCTATAACTATGAATTTAAAATAACCTTCACTTTTAAGTCTTTGTAACCACGGTGGGCCAGATCACACAAAGCTGGGCCATTGGTTATTTGTTAAGTGAAACCTGCTTAATATGCCTAAATTGACAAAAGCAACCGTCAGTGCATAATAAAGGCGGTCGGTCTTTTCAAAGTCTGACCAAGCTAAGTTTAGCCGAGGATCAGCTAAATTTAGCTCTTTTTCAGAGTAAAATTGATCTTGAAGAGCTAGATTTAGCTGTCGGAGCTAAATTTAGCTCTTCTTCGGCTAAATCTTGCCCTCTTTCCTTGACTGCAATGCATGGGTACAATCTATCTTTCAACTACATTAAATTGCAAAATTTTGAGAGAATTTTTATGCGACATCGAAATCTTACAGATTAAAAAAAAATAATCAAAATAAAAACAAAAAATTTAAATTCACTATTTTTTTTGCAGCAAATTATATTTTTTTTCAGGAAATTTAATACGCGATGTAATCATTTGCAAACAGGTTGCAAAAGTCTTGACGGCATACCTGTTCACTTTCATTCATTCGTCCGATTATGAGAGTAGAAATTGTGGTGGAAATTTTGCAAATTTTTGTGAAATTATGAATTGATGAAATTTTACTTTATTTGCTTACCACCTTCTTTTTTGAGGTTGATAAACGTCATAGAAAATTTATTGATTTATTAAACCAGGAACTAAAGTCAAACTAGGTTTTGATTTTTGGTTTGATTTTTGTTTTGATATTTTTATAAGAAAACTAATGAAATTTTAATTTCTTTTATCGAGTTTGGTCAGATATTTCATTTTACGTTTGAAGTTGGTGAGTTTTATAATTTTGACCGAATTGACATTCGGCATCCAAAAACGTTATAATTTTTATTAAATTATGAAATAAAATCGAACCAAAAATAAAATTTTGTAATTTTGAAAGAATAATTTTCTGGTATTGCTGAGAGCTTTGTGGAGATATTTTAGAATTTCTAAAATTATGAATCAATTACTTTTTATCTGCATTTGAATTGAATCTTTAGAGTTTACGAATAATACAAAATTTTGACAGAATTGTTATTCGGTTTCGAAATCTTACTTATTTATTCAATTATGAAATAAAATTAAAACAAATTTTGAATTTTACTGAATGAAATTATAATTTTTTAAGAAAACTCAACACATGATGTCGTCATTTACAAAAAAATCGAAAATCAGGCGACCTTTTTGTGTGTGGAAATTTTCCAAATGTTTCTAAAACTAATACTTTATAAAATTTTACTTCATTCGACCGATTCAGTCCAGTTTTATCTGTAAAGCTGATTAAAATATAAAATGTTCACCCAATTTTTATTCGATTTCCAAATTTTACAGATTTATGAAACTATGAACTAAATTCAAATCAAATTTTGATTCTCGTTCGATAAAGTTTTTAGGCATTTTTTAGAAAATTCATGAAATTTTACTTTATTTTATCGATCTGGCTGATCAGATGGACATTATCTTTGAAGGTCGTGGACGCTACAAAAGTTTGTTAGAATTCGTATTCGGCATCCAAATCTGGAGGACTTTTTTCTCGACATCCGGCGACAGTTTTATGTATTAATTTATGAAATGAAATAAAACAAAAATCAAATTCCAGAATTTTGCTGTGGGAAATTAGCTTCATAAATGTTCGCTTTCATTCATTTGACTGATTATGATGGTGAAAGAAATAAAAAGAGGAGAAAACTCACCCCCAAGGCTGGCAAATTTTTCATTTACCAAATTTTCTGCACATTTCGCCCGCTGTGGATGCAAATATCTCCGCCAAACTTGAGCATTCGTAGATAGTTCTATTTGTAAATTTGATACTAATATACTTGTGATCGATTGACGCTAGTTTGGTCCAAATCTGTGAGCATACGTTGGGAGACCTCCATTGTCACTTGGATACCCGCAAAAACCCCTGGGCAGTGTTTTAAATTTTACCACTTCGGTTGATTTTTACCATCACAGTGGTAAAAAGTGGTAAAATGGTAAAAAGTGGTATAAACTGGTAAAAAGTGGTAAAAACTCAGGATAGGTTGATTTATGCTGTGGGAAACTCAAATTACTTAAATGATATTTTTAATCAGTAGTAGATAAGAAATAATTTAGTATAATGGGCCTCCTCAGACAGTTCTCAAAAATTTCGCTTGTTTCGCTTGGTTAGAAATTTCGCCTGTATTAGCGAAGGTGCATCATCACCGTCACTCGAACAACCAATCAGAGCTCGCCATTATAAGCGAGCAAAAATCGGGGGAAGCGAGGCTCCAGAGTAGAGTTAGTGTCGCTTATTCTTCAGCTAGTTGCCAGATGTTTTTCTTGTTGTTATAAATTAATTCTACAATTTGTTAAAGTAAATTAGTGTTCAACAATAATAACAAATATGCCACCTAAACAAGCAAAGACGAAGAGCACTAAGCAAGCCAGCAAGAAAACCACTCCCACTGAAACCCAATCTCGACGGGAATGGACGGAACGAGAGAAAAAAGTAATTCTGAATTATTTACTGCAAACTATACAGTCAGGATTGTCAATTGAGGTAAGGAATTTACTATTTTGTGAAATTATTAAATTACTGGTACAATTTACTTATCTACTAAACAATTTGATTCATTTTTAGAAGCCAACTGCTTCTATTTACTATGGACGGCTGCAGATTCAAACTTCTGAATTCGAAAACGTAACTCCTACGCAAATTAAAAATGTTGTTAAAAACTTAAAGAAATCTTATGACGCGATCATAAACTGGAGGAATCAAACCGGAGAGGGGATCGTAGATAAGGAGTATGTAAGAGGTGAGTGCTTCTTAAGTACATGATTAAATTGATACATATTTCATACACAAATATTACTTATGCATGGATAATATGAATATTAATAAATATTGCAGATTATATTTTGAAAAAGTGTCCACTTTTTGACATTTTGGACGAGATTTACGGGACAAGGGCGAGTGTGAATCCACCATTCATTCACGAAACGCAAGGCGAATACGACGACGAACAACAGGACGGTGCAGCCGCCGAACCATCTGACCCTTTAGGAAATGACAAGGATGAGTTGTTAGACATCACGGAGTATGGTATTACACATTCAGAAATCGAGGTGGAAATAGGAACGGAAAACAATACTTTAGACGAAGTCGGGACCGCTCCCAGTGTCCAAAAATCAGGAACGTTCGACTCCGTCAATCGGAAGAGAAAACCTCCGGTCATGACGAGCATGGGATTGATGGCAGAAGCATCAAAGCAGCGATCTGACCTTGCAGTTCATCGTTTACAATTTGAAAAGGAAACTTTCGATCGCAAGGAGAAAATGGATATGCAAGCCCTGGACCTTCAGAAAGAAGACTTTTTGTTGAAAAAAGAAATTGAACTCGGTAAATTAGATATTGAGAGACAAAAAAACCAGACTTTTCATGAAGTCGAAATGAAAAAGATGGCTTTGGAGGAACAAAGATTGAAGAACGAAGAGCGTAAACTTAAACTAGAACTCGCAAAATATGCTTCATAAATATTTGGCAATAATTTGTGACAAATAAAAAATCTAGTAATTGACAAACTGATGTGCTTTCTAGATTAAGAATTATCGTATATTTATTAATTATGAAATGATATTTATCGGCTCTGAACATAATTAAATATTTCATCCCGTTTTTCAATAGCTGACGGTCGGAGGTTCCCATTTCGGGGATTGACCTGATCATTCTCATCACCTAGCATTTCGTCTGTGACCGGATATTCGTCAAGAGACTCCAAAATGATGTTGTATAGCACGCAACAAGCTGTAATCCATTGTACAGCATATTGATGGCCATCTTGAAAGTTAATTTGCATCCTTAGCTCCTTCAGACTCGTGAAAATTTCTTTTAGACCCCCATACACTTGTTCAATTTTGACACGGAAGTTGCAAAACACTTTGTTGAACTTATCTGCATTGTAATAAGTAAATATTAATTTTACAATCGAAACCGATTAGTAGTACTACTGAGATGCACCTCTTTCTTTTTGTGTTCCAATAACTGCATTAGTCCGAAGCGTGGTAATCAAGTACGGCTGAAGTTTGTAGGCTGAATCGCCGGCTATCCATTGCCCTAGGTTAAAATAATTTTCAGGGTGTTTCGCAATATCACAATTTGCAAACACTCGCGCATCGTGTACTGATCCTGGGTATCCAACTAAAATATGTCTCAATCGCAACTCTGCAAAAATCGAAATACCAGAATATATGTACAACATTTGATAAAAATAGGCAATGGTTAAAGTATAATATGCACACCTGCGTCACAAATCCCTTGTAGGTGAATGGAATATCTCATTTTACGTGAAAAATAAGACTGGGGATCGTTGATGGGAGCTTCCTCTAAATTAATGTGGGAGCCGTCAACAATTCCGATACAGCCTGGAAGCTGGGGGCATAATTCAGCCAATTTCTCGCGTTCAGTTTCATCAGGCCAGTAAATCCATTCTTTTTCAACTGATACGATAGCCTGAAAGATTTAAAACACCTCTTAATATAAAAACCCTTTAACATACACTTTATTGTAAGCATGATAATTATATAATTTTCATATTTACCTTTATTACTCTCTTGGTGATAGCATCAACTGTTCCATTACCAATTCCAAATTTTTGAGCCAGTTTCGAATAAGACGCCCCAGTACCGTTCACCCCGAATCGAAATAGTGCGACGGCTAATTGGATTGCAATTGGAAATTGTTTCCCTGGTCCGATGTTTGAAAATCCTTCGTAGGGAGAAATTATGTTTAATATTCTACCAAAGTCTGTCCTTGACACTCTTAAATTTTCCTTGAACTCTCTTTCGGCATAATTTGGCAAGACACTAAAAATCCACTCTTTAGATTTTGGAGTTTTAATGGTTCGAGAAGTCGCATATCGAATGCACAACACTGCACTTAAATCGTTCTCAAAGTTTTCAATAATGTCGTCAATTTCCTCTTCTTCAGTTTCCATCGCCAGGATTGCGTTGCAAGCAAGGGCCTCGATAAGGTGTGTTTTAGCGGACTTTTGCGACATCGTAGTTAGAATATAAATTAAAACAAATTAAATATTTAACTTAAACTACTAAAACTTACTCAAATTTGGGATTCACTAAATCACAGGGGTTTTAAAATTCGCGCACAGTCTCATTTTTGGAGCAAATTCACAAGCGACTTATTAAGCGAAAAGTGTTCAGTCAGATTTGCCTCGCTTGTTCGCTTAATGCAGCGAAATTTTTAACCAAGCGAAGCAAGCGAAATTTTTGAGAACTGTCTGAGGAGCCCCAATATTAATCTAATATCTCAAAATCTTATAAAAACCCTGGAAATACCCCGGAAAACCCTATTTAATATTACGTAAAAGAGGGGTTTTTCCGAGGTTTGATCGTTGCAAAAACCCGCAAAAACCTCAATAACCCCAAAAATAACAAAAACACCAGGAACCCAAAAATACCAAAAAAAAACATCAAAACCCCCAAAAAATACCAAAAAACACCAAAAACATTTCCAACCCACAGAAACCCAGGGTGACGAACCCTGATTCTAAGTTTATGCAGTATGAGGATATGAATGCAAGAAAAGGTTAAAAAATGCTTTCCTTGTCTATTCTTAGCACAACCCTGTTTCTTAGAAAGAGAAATCTCTGCCACATTAAAAGAAGTGTGGACTTGTAAAATTCTCCAGTTTCACAGCTCAAGTCAGCAAGACAACTTGTCCCCTCAGTTCAACTCATTTCATAGTGATTCTCGGATATTCTTGACTATTCGACGCCATGGCTGGCAAATTAGGTAAGACAGTCTGAATTTGTTTGTACTTCCATCTCCTTCGATCATTTCCAGTTATTTCCGCAACCTTTTAGTTTTCATAACGTCCCCTTGATGGGTGAATTGAATTCTAATAAATATCTGGAAATTATTCAAGACATAATTTCTTACATAAATACTAACTATTTCTTCTGTTAGACACCCCCATCTCAGAAACTCCAGCTCCTGCCGAACAAATCAATCAGGAAGATAATGAAGCATCACCACTACAAAGGATGTCAGCTAGGGTGGCGGCACGCCGACGACAAGAACCAAGGCCATCGACATCTTTCAACGATATCGCCACTCCCAGGGAGGAGTACAATCTAAATAACTTGGGATTTGAAGACTATATAGTCACCCTCCGTCTCCTCACGGACGGAGTACCATACGCACTAGATCGTCCACACGAAAAACATCGAGAAGTCACGGAACGTCTCCGAATAATGGTGAGTATGACGAAATTTGAAATTTTACTTTCCCTTATAAATTTTAGATTCCCATCAATACGTGCAAAATTATTAGGCTGTTTTTTTGCCTTTTTGAATTTCTGTCCGATCTTGTAATGATTAATATATGGAAAACTTAAATTACACTGGTCCGTCAGTTTTTGAATTTTAAACCGCGTCTCCAGAGGGTGTGGTCATTGGCCACTGTTTTCACTTAAATCTTAACAAGGAACGCCGTTTACGTGATTATTGCCTTCTTTTCAGTCATTCCGAGTAAAAAGTGTTATTAAAATTCAACCCTCATCTTGTCAATATCGCGAGAGAACGTTAAAACTCAGATTTCCATCCCGTCTATATTTTACAGCATTTCAAAGAATGAAATGAAATTAATAGCCAACAGCAATGGTAAACAGTCAGTTTGACGGATTCTACATGGCACACGAAACGACTTGGAAAAATCCCATTGCTTTTCAAAACTCTGAACTGAAGAGCCCCATATCCATTACATTACATACGTCCATTAACCAACGTCGTTGGTTTTCGTCTAATTGACCAATTTTGGGCACTGTACAACAGGAAATATTCACAGCTTAATGATAAAGTTGATGCATACATTAAGAAAATTTTTGGTTTCGGTGGGAGAAAATTACTAATGAAGCCTTCCCAAAAAGCGCTCATGAGTCATGACGGCGTTGAAATGATATAGCAAATTAAATTTTGATCGGAAGCGTATGATGTTTTGAGGGTAATCAACATCTAGATATATTTGTGATATTATGAAAAAAAATTGCATTTCCAAATTAATTTTTTGACCACTTTTACTCCATACATATCGTAGTCTACTACATAATATTTTCTTATTACTCTATGTGATATATATGTAGAAACTTGCCGTGGCAAAAATAAACGTCACCCAACACTAGTTTGCTTATACTTTAGGAGCATGTCCTATTTTCTTTCACTTACCGGAACTTTGTGATTTATAAAATTTTTCATCTTTTTTATGTATCTTACAGGTGACCAACTTGGGGATTAAGTGGAATAATATGCCGCCATGGGTGCGAGTCTACCGAAACGGCGATGTCATAAGGGCTGCAAGAATGTTTCATTTGGGTTTTATAAAGAACAAGAAGACGTCTGGCGCTGATGGGGATGGGGGGTTAGCGGAGGTCACATAAACGACGCCACCCCCCGCGAAACGCACCCGTTCCAATCCCCCTTCATCGGATTCTACCTCTTCCAACTAGAAATTAGGGACAACGGCAAATCTGGAAGAAAAAAATGGACAATGTGGCAACTGGTTGGTTTTCTTTAGCTTCATTAGCAATTTTTAATCCATCTTAGAGAAAAACACAAAAAAAAGTTATCCTGATATTAATTTACTTTAGGGTTGCTTATACTGCCTGAAATATATTATTTTCTACATAAAACTTTGAAAAGTTTGCACATTTTAAAATAAGTTTTTTACAATGCAATAATTTTTTGTACGGGAATACAAACAATTAATAATTATGTAATTGTATTTTTATATTTATGTATACTAGCCTATAAGCCCGTCTTGTAGACGGGCGGATTTCTAAACTTCTTCATTAGATTTAATCACATAATTCTAATGTATGTAATAGACTGAGTTCACGATAAATAATTATGTGCAATTGTTCATTTCGCACGAACAGGATCAGTGTGCAAAATATTCATTATGCACTATACTTATAAGCGCATTTGTTTATACATATTTTCTGTTTTTCATTAGTCCATTTTTCTGATTTCAACATAGTATAAGATTTACAGAAAGAATTTAAATTAAGAATTTAAAAAATATTGTTACCATTTGGTTACAAATTACTCATTTCGCTCCATATTTCGTACCCTCCATAGATTTTTTAAAATGTAAGAACCGCCTGGAAAGTTAAGTCCAGCAATATCTCGTACATCTGTACCTTAGTTGGAATCGCGACATGAACAAATTTAATTCCCCCAACCCCCACCGGTACAACGATGGGGCGTAAAGATCTCAGCATTTTCATCTGTTCCTTTCGCGCCTCTATTATATTGCCCCGAAATGAAAACGCGTTTTTAAATTTTGTCAAAAGATTCCCTGAAAGTTTCGGATATAACACGGCCATGTCCCACACTGTCTGAAGTACGGTCAATCCAGTAACCTCGGCAACAATAAATCCCACCAGTATCACGGGCAATATGAGACTATGCATTTTTACCACGGCATAATTACATAGAACGATATAAAGTCCGAGAGATGTCGTTGCGACGAGTGCTATTTTTTGGGCAAGGTCAGCTCCAACGCCAAATAATAGTTGGGCGACGCGATACCTTGAAATATGGATGCGATTGATCCCGCGGTCCGTAGATGTTTTAAGTAACGCCATAATTGAAAATATTATAGATGAGAGTGTCATCAGCTGGATTATTGCGAGCACTATGGAGTACAAGATGAGACGCTCGAGCTCATAGGCGGCAAGATTTGCGATGATGAAACGGTACAAGGTTTCGATCAGAGTGTACAAAAAGTTATTGCCAGACCAAGGGGGGATGATAGGTTTGCGGATTATGAAGACTGGAGGGTCATACTCGAGTAAGATTAAGATAAAGACGGCCACCGGGGTGAACAAGAATCCCACCAGGGTGTCAACTTTGAGAAGGTTAATCACCCAGTTTGATCCGGGAAATAGACGCGGCAAGATTTTGAACTTCTTACGCAGTTCTAGAAATTAAAAGTTTACAGTCCATATAAGTACTTAAAATTTGTTATTTTTCACTGATTAACCACGAGGTCGGTCTAAACTTGTTACAAAGATGTTGTTAAATCTTAAATTCAAATAAATTCAAAGTTTTCACTGCTTGGCTAAGAAATTGATACTTAATGGAACAAAGATGAATTTAGTAGAATTTATTATTTCCATTTTTGCAAAAAATTCTGTAACTGGACCTCGTGTAACTTCATGATAATTGAAATGGGGCATCTAAAAATCTTTTAAACATTAAAGGGTATACCTACCTATGTATATACAATATTCTGTAGGAAGTCGCGTAATTCGCGAACGAAATTTGTTCAGCTGATCTTATTGGTACTCCTTTTCAATTTATTGAAAAATTAGAGGTTTACTATTTGTTTATTTTCAGTTAAGCCGGGATAAAAGGGGACTACATCCCGGACGACGTTTACCTGGACTGTCTCAAGGTTCATGAGCAGAGAGTTCGTTCATAATTCATTTTTCCCTTGCGTAATCTACTACAGATTGCACCAGACTTTTGAGCCAATAAAACCTAATTTTTGTAATATTTTTTTATATAATCTGGGAATCTCAGATTATATGTATAATATAATATCATTGGGGCATCTCAGAGTGAGATGCCCCAATATTTGTGTATGTACCTTGTTTCAGCTTTCGTTCATAGTCCACCATCTCTTTGCAAGAATAGATAACCAAGTCCCTGTTTTTAACCACGGTCTCATGGTACACGACCCCTTCACAGATTGCAATGACCAACATCCCGAACCACAACAGGATTCGGATATCCATCCAATACTGATTTCCCACACCTTCTCCCCGGACTATCAAAATTGCCCAGGAAATACAGAAAATTATAGAAAACAAGATGACCAGTACACAAATTGACCACGACTTGTCAAAAGGACGCTGCACTTTGATCAAGTAGACCGAACCTTTTCGAAATTCGAGGTCAAGTGGGAAACGGTAAATACAATTTGTGAGATAGGTTTTCTGAAAAAGTTTAAAAAATTCGAGATGTTCAGAATTCATTGCTGCAAATGGGTTACATTGGTATGTCTATCAAACAGGGGTCAAACATGGGTAAACTAAAGTACCTAAATAGGATTGATTTATTGTCCAGAATCCTAATTTTACTTTATAGTGGTTGGATGAAAATTTCATAAATGATTACAGAGTGGTCATACATAACTATGGGGTAATTTTGTCAGCCAATTTTTATTAATTTCTATTACTTGGAGAAAATGGCATGTATGGAATTTTTTTTACAATTGGAAATCTTAACATACAAGTTGTAATGGGTTTCATGCAATGCGTAATATAATTATAGGGTAGGATTAGATACAAAAATTTTGCAATGGGTTAAGCTTAAAAGGACCACGGTGTATAATCGGAAATGGTAATAAGTATGATGATTATTTTAAGGAGTAATTGATACTTACATATATTTGTGAATTAAAAGTTGGTAAATACAGCTTATCCCATCACAATGCACACATGTGAACTACATATGTACTAATATGAAGCTACTGATACTTACTCGTTTTAATTCATTTCATTGCCTGTCAAAATATTTGGATTGTTGTTCATTATGTATTTGTTTATATTTTTGGTTGCCTATTTATTTATGATATGAAAACTTGTACTTACTTGTATAATTTGCGGATATCAAGTTTGCATAAATGTCTGCGAATACTACGTACATACATGTTGCTTAGAAACCATTCTTACATATATGTCTTATATCATTATGTGTGTCTCTTGGATTATAAATAAAATTTTTTAGCAATGAATAAGACGAGCACATCGGGATAAATTATCATACTTTAATTATAATAATTGGAGTAAATTAAGTACGTGACGGCTACGGTTTAACATCGCAAAGGTATATGTATATTTATTACAATTTATGGTATAAAGTTAAAAGTGAGCAACTTAGCAGGAAGGATTCTAACAGGTATTTAACGCATTAAAAAGTCTTTGTAAATAATAACAATGGTAATTGTGTACTATAGTTATTTTGAATGCATTTGTGATAAAAGTCTTGTAATTTGAATAAGCAATTTTCAGTTTAAGTTCTTTTCAACCCTTCTTACAGCTCTAAGGTAGTATTTAAGAAGGTCATAAAAACGGGAGATCTTGGTGAGGATTGGCACAGTTACAATATTAAATACATTTTTACTGTATGTAGAAGGTTTGTATCACCGCTCCAGTTGTAGAGCTTGACTAATGGTACCAAGCATAGCAAAACAGTCATATTTAAATTGGCATTATGTCGTCAATTTAACTCCGATGTTCAAAATTCTTGAAAGATTGGGCGCACAACTACATTGTGTATCATAAAATAAGCTCGATCCAATACATGCACATAGTCGACCGGAGGTACATAGGTCAACAGTCAATTTGAAGGTTTAGAATCGATTCTCAAACCGCTAAATGTAAATATATGTATTGTTTATACGTTTTACCTAAAATGACAGGAGCTATTGTAGTTGCCTGCACAATTGCTCTCTTCCAAAATTTTGATAGGTGTAGTCATTTAGGTTGTAGAATACGGTCAAAGGATTTCTTGGCTTAGTCGTAACAATGAGTCATAGTTTAGCTTATTTCAGTAGGGCTTACTAGTACATACATAGATTGAGTACTCATGACCTCAATTTCCCCGCATAAAGATAATTAAATATTTAATATCGCTATGTAATGTGTGGATGCTCATTAGCATTCAGCTATACATAAATTTAAATGCACTTTACAATGGTCACTTTCCCACAACTATTTCTCGTGATTTATCAACTGACCGCATATAAGACAAAACTCGGGCAGCACTCCATCTCTTGGTCGTTTCTTTTTCAAGCATTTTCCTCACTACCTTTTGAAGCTCTACACTACTTCTGCACATAATACCGTCTATCAATTTTCTTCTGCCAGGTTCATCAAATTTTATCAAATCACTAAACACTTTGGACCTCATAAACGTGTTCCCGTTCAATTGTGCTAATTCTAAACAACACAACCCAAAACTATAGACATCCGATTTAGTGTTATATGCCGATCCTCGCATCCGCTCTGGACTACGATAGATCTTTGTCCCTGCTTGACTACCGTGATACCCTTCTCCATCCATGGCTAGTAGGGCTAATCCAAAATCCGCAATTTTCCATACAATCGAATTCTTCGAAAATTTAAACTGCCCTAAAATATTCGCAGGCTTCAAATCTCTATGATTTACCCCTTTTGAATGAATATACTCCAGCCCTGTGCACAGTTGTCGTATAATGTCCCAAACAATTTTGTCTATATTTGTATAACAATTGACACCAGCACGAATTATTCTAATCAATTTGCTAATATATTCTTCAAGACTTATATCACAATATTCCATTTTCAGGAACATATGACTCCGCGAGAAAGATTCAGTGCTATTGGCGGAGTTTGTTGCATTAGAAACCAATTGTGAAATATAGGCTTCCAAGTTATGTCTGTCGACCAGACTACCGCGATCTGTTTCCACCCAGCAGTTATGAAATTTGACAACGTGTTCCGAATGTAATTCGCTCAGTACGTCAATCTCGTTAAGAAGTTTATTTATACGTGCATAACTGTCCGGAAGGGTTTTGTAATTTATTGTTTTAAGAATGTCTACACACTTTATAGCGTAACCTATTTTGTTACACGCTTCGTTGACATCAATCGCTTTTATGACAACGCCAAATGAGCCGCGCGCAATTTCTCCAAGGCCAATCAAAGAGCGAAATGTGCACCAGGGAGTGAAACATCGTTTTAGTTTCGTTCGGAGTTCGTTTAGATCAACTGAAATTAGCGTGAAATATATTTTTTTTTGATTAGGGACGTTGCACAACATTGCTGTTTTGTAAGACAAAAATATTGTATACCTTCAAGTTCAAATTGTTGTGGTTTTCTTCTTGTGTTGATCAGTGTGCGAATAAATACTATAAGGATTACCAAACTGATGATCAAAATTGGGACCAAAATCAACCAATTGTTAAATTCTTCAATCAAGATTGTTGGTTCCTCTGTAGTTGTTTCACCTAAATTTTGGCCTTATTAATTAGAATTTTACAAAAAGATAAACAAAATTTAACTACAAAATTCCGTCGGACTAATTCCGAAAGGAAATAAGTGCAGTGCAGTTAATGGCTAATTCCGAAAACAATAAGTTCAGGCTTCTTACATGTCATTCTTGTGTACTTATTCCCTTTCGAAACTAAGCATGCGCTGCACTTATTCCCTTTCGGAATTAAGCATCGACTGCACTTATTCCCTTTCGAAATTAGGCATGCGCTGCACCTATTCCCTTTTGGAATTAAGCATCGACTGCACTTATTCCCTTTCGGAATTAAGCATTGACTGCACTTATTCCCTTTCGGAATTAGTCCAACAATTCCTATTTGCTGTCACCTATAATTGCACATTACTTTACCTGGCGCATCCGTATTACTCACATCTGTAGTGGTTTCCACAATTGCTGGGCAAGAAAAATTTGTGGGGCCGTCATCGTATAATGGATCCGAAATTAGTTTGCAGTCACAAAAGCAGTAATACACAGTCAAAACTGGGTTGACCTGTGCATACAAGTTGTGTGTGTTACATTGTCTACAGACGAATACGAGATCATGCAAATCAATTTCATGGTAAGTAGGATATATTACGAAGCTTTATTTATGACAAATCGATTTTGGAACTGATCCGAGGACAGGATTGCCTACGAAATTCAAATTTATCTCCCAGTTGCAAGGTTATGATTTAAGTAGACAACAAAATAAAATTTAAATTTGACACCATTATTTCTACCGTCCAGTTTCAAAATCTTTACCACCAAGTAGCAATCAAACTATTACATAATTTGTCAAAATATTATTTAGAGTGTACATATTTCATTACCTTAATGCTAGATACGGATTTTTTAAAAAACGTTCTCCCAGAACTTTTATGACCCTCTGATCTGTATATTGCGACAAGTGTGCATCCCTTTCTAACCCTGATGGATTTTAATTTCCTCGAAAATTCGGGCGTTAATTGTTGTGACTTTCCAAATGTAATTGAGACTCGTGCAGAATTACAGTCCCTGCAGCCGTCCTCAAAATATAAGGTTCCACATACTCGTGGATTGTTAATTGGTCTGTTGTCACATCCTGGGGATTTCGTTTCACACAGAGAGCCTCCAAGTGACTCACATTCACAATTTGTTTCGCCAATTAAGTAGTTTTTCTATAAAAAACATGAGTTCTATTATTTACTTCGCTAGTAATGTAATATTAAAAAAACTAGTAAACCAGTAATTTAATTTGTTAGTTCTTTTAGTTTAAAATTCATTAAATTAAAGATGTAATTAATCTACCAATCACAAAATACATACACAATTTAAACATATATGTTTAAATTGTATACAATTACAACGCAAAAAGTTTTACTAGTTATCAATTTGTAACTGAATATTAGAAGTCGGCCACAATTTACCATTAAGAATTAAAAATGCATGTACCGTTTTAGAATTATTAAATATTATTTGTCATAAATTTACTTCCGTTGTTAAACAGTATCACTATACTACACTCTTAACAAAATCAGTAAACACGGTATTGATATGTGACTCTACCGCGTTGGTATTGATTTGTGCAAAATCAGTATTAGATTAGTACTGCGTGGTTATAAATCTAATACCAGTAAGTGTTGAAATTGTTACCGACACATACTTACTATTTAAATACCAAAATGGTATTAGCATTCAATACCAACCTGGTAGAGTCAGATATCAATACCGGTTCGTTTTTTCAATACCCAGTTATTTAGCGTGTATCAATAAAATTCAATTCCATCAATACTTATTTTGATAATTTTATGATATTACTTTACTTAAAAAACAGTACCTGTTCCTTGGATAAATTATTTTCTCCGTTAATCAACTGGGTACATTTCATACCGAAAGAGCCATCCCACCCACAGACGGTAGAATTACAAGATTTATTCCAGATTTTGACCCTTGTGTGCTTTATCTTTGCTTCGAATTCGTCGTACAAAGTTGGGTTACACTCTTTCCCTTCATAAATATCAAGAAGGGATGATTCTTCTCCTTCTAAACTATTTTGTAAAATTAACGAGGCACACTTTATCCTATCGATTTTCAAATTATACGACTTGGCGAATGGGGTTAAAATACTTTTGAATAAAAAAAAGTTTATATACAGGAATATTTTCATTTTTCAAAAAAAGCAATTTGAAATCTGGATGGTCCATTCAATGTAAATATGTAATCTACCAGTGTGCAAAACTTTCTTATGAATTAAGAAGGTAGTGTGGATTCTGCAACGATGGTGAATTATAAAAAGGCGAAGGATAAAGTTGTAATTAAAAATTCAGTCAGCATCTCTAGTGATGGTTGTATCCTATTGCTTCGACTTATATAAGAGACAATCAACCCCCAAGGCGCAACATGCCCATCCAACCATCCGACAGTGAAAACAATGCATTGGTTAAACTAAACCAACAACACAAATGCCCTCCCTACATATAATAATGATACTCATGAGTTAGCTTTGTTCGTCCACTTGTGAGAGCATTCTTTTTAGCCTGACACAAGGCTTATGTACTGGCGTTGTCCGTCCGTCTGTCTGTCTGTATTTCGATAGCTCTCTTTAAACTTATTCGATCGACTTGAAATTTTTACCATTTGCATATTGGCAAAGTTAGGAATCAAGTTCGAAGATGAGCCAAATCGGTCCCGTGGTTGACCTGTTGGGGTCATATTAGTGGTGTGGGTCAATGGTGCAGAAAATACAAAATAGTCGTAGAAGGCTGAAATTTGGCATGAAGGTAGTTAATGACTTGTTAGTGAAAGAATATGAAGTGATATTAGAAAAATTTTCATCTGTAGGGACCCTAGTGGGTGACCCATACCGATTTCCTAAAATCTTCCAACCGAGCTGAATTTTCGCAAGGACGTCGCTGGTGACGACTGATGAGAGAATTTCACTTTAAATTATAAAATTTTACAGTTTGAGGGCCCCTAAGAGAGGACCCATACCGATTTCATAAAATCGTCCAATTGAGCTGCAATTCGCCATGACAGTTTCAATGAAGTTGTAAGCTAGTGATATGATTTCAAACTACTTAATTTTTCAGTCGTTGCATAAAAATCCCTGGGTCGGGCTCCGCAAAGCTGTACTGATAGGTTTTATAAAGGTGGTTTACTCGCAAGTATTTAGTGATACCTATACTAAATATAAAATCTGATAGAGATAGCATACTTAATAAGAATACTAAGTATATTACTAATAAGAATAAAGGAATGAGAATAATAATAGTAATATGTAAGAATATTGGGTGCATTATTGCTCATAAGTTCTTTATATCCATTCAATGTATCAATCCACTGTCTCCTCAGCACATCTTACACTACACCTCAACTTCGATGGTTGGAATGACTTGCCTGAATGGAATTTGGGTTTCTAACGTCATGCAAGCAGTGAGATTAACATATCTAAAATTATCTTAGCATAGAACAAAATGCGGAGTTATATGCTTGCTCTCTGCGAGCTTTAAGATAATTTAGTTGACGTAATATTCTGAATGAATCATTTCTTGAAATTAACCAATCATAGCTTAAAAGAGAAAAGAAAGAGGATGGAACAAATAATCGCGTTGGTTGCAAGCGGCAAATGGGGTGGAAAGTTGTCCCTTGGTCAGCCTCATCATCATCATATTTTTTATCCTCCGTCGCCAAACGTTCTGTTGCTGAATTACAGTAAGTAAATCTGCCACCTTTCTACGAAGTAGACGTACAACAATGCTTTGAGTGATCAACACATTCAAGGACACTCACATTATCTATGTATACCCAACACCTGGCCCCATCGTTGTAAACAAGAGGTGATGAGAGTTCATGAGATGAGTCTACTTACACAATCTCGCTTGGATTGTGTAAGATTTTCAGCTCTGAAAATTTCTAGATTTCAATAGGAGGAAACAGCGCGTATATTTTTGCTGTATATATTATTGACTATTGAATTGCTTATGAAAACATTAATAAAAATTTTTCAACTTTATTCATGTGTCAATATTTATATAAAATTGTTGTTGAATCATTCTAGAATTCGTGTTAGTCAGTTAGGTTTGCCAAATGAATTACGAATGGAAGCCAATTTACAGCAATACGTTTATTGTTATTAGCCTCACATCGAGTGGTGGCCAATTTGTGACAAATTAAGGTTTTTTTATATTTCACATAAGATTATATGTAAATGGTGGCCTCAGTACTCCGGCCTCCCTAATACTACCATACGGGAAATTTTGAAAAAACCCCATAATTTGGCAGACCAATCGGCGATCAAATGCTGTGAGGCAAATAATTTTGAATAATGCAATATTCATTATTTCGTGGTCAAGAACTCAGCTTTAGCTTGCCACTATTGTGGTTTCTAACCAGAGTATGGTATTTGGCAGAAAGTCATGCCAAAAATTATGCCTTTTTTGCCGTAAACGTGCCATAACTGGCGGAAATTAAAATCTGTGGTCAAATTATGAGATTCTCTTACACTGTAAAAATACTAGGAATTGGTTTTCTTTTTAAAGTGAAAAAAACGTTTTAAGATTAAAACGAAATGAATACAAATTCTACATGCTTAAAATATATGTACGCATAGTATGCATATGAAATGTAGACTGTTAAGATGTACAAACTATGGTCTGGGCAAAATTAATAGGCCGTTTTTTGTGTACACTTCTTATGCAGAAAGCGACCTATTAATAATGCCCAGGCCATAGAGCACCCTTTATTTCTAAGATTAGACGTACAAAGTTTTACTACATGTCATTACTTTACATTGGAAAACAAGAGTTGAAAACATTTTTATATATGACACGCTTTTTTAGGATTCCGAATAAAAATTACGCCATTACGTAAGTACGTGCATATATACAGTATGTATTTGCATATGCCCTATTAGATGTTATGTCGTCAACACCTTGATAGCGAGAAAGCCATACAAACAAATTAACTTTAATTGTGAAAGTATTAAGTTATATACATATATTTAATTTCTAATACGAATATTCACTAAATAACTTTACATGGAGGCACTGTATTATTTTGCTCAATTTTTGCAAAAGGCATTTACGGCAAAAAGGCATCAATTTTTGGTCGGCATTTGCAGCACGTTTACGGCAGGCAGGTCTTTTTGCCCTGGAGTACACTGTTTCTAACTAATTTAATTTTTTTGGTGATTTGGCAATCATGTGAATGGAAGTAATAAGAATCGTGACAAATCATTTAAAATCGATTTGCTGTTTAACATATCAAAGTGGGCCAAGGAAAGTGCTTGCTTCTAACATGTTACGCATACGAAACTACTCTTTGGTTATAAGATTTCCACATATATTGACAAAATTATTACATAAATTTAGCAGGAAATTCAATTTATTAAATAATCCTGGTCGATTAGTAACATTTTTAAATAGGGCTTTTTATTTAATTTTTTCTACAAATATGGCACTGTGCGTTCTCGCGACTTTAAAAGTCGTACAAGACAAGTATTTTTTTTTGCACAATTTCATCGCAATCTCCCTTAAACTAACAAATAAAAATAAAGTGAGATTATGCTGTATTTTTGATCAAAAATATGACTACTAAGTTAGTCACAAAAAATTGCAAATCAGACCATTTTCACACTTATTATGTTTAACCAATCACCAGTAGTATGAGTAAAATTATTTTCCTAATCCTAAGGATATATTTACTTTGGAAACACACGAAGATTAAAATATACATGTTGCATTAAGCAAATGTTGAGTGAGAGAGACAGCAGTGATGATGATTCTCTCTGGTTACCAGCAGTATGGTAACCCATAGCAACCATATGCTGATGTACAATTTAACACTCCAAGAGAAAAATATTTTCTTCCATACAAAATTAATATATTAGCCAACATTCGTAGTGCAAATTGAGTGCCCTGTAGTTCATAGTGAGTGTTTCCTAGTCATACTTTTCATAGTTTAACTATGAAATGGTAATATCATTTCATATTAAACGCCTTTCATAGTTATTATTTACATACATCATCGTTTATTATTGTTCGTAGTCCTTAATGGCATAGTAAAATTTTTACGTAGCAGAAATGTTTCATAGTTATGCTTGTACATCAGATGTGACAATTTTTAATAGTTATCTAAAATATTTAAATAAATTAACCAGGGTTAGTACTCTTGCAAAGTCCTTCACAATACGTCCTGATTCAGTTTATTACATACCATGTAGTTATACCAGGCCCCGATTTTTTTTTGGGGGGGGGAGGCAACCGGGGCAATTGTCCCGGGCGCCGAAATTTAACATGCGTATGTGACAAGTTGTCACATATGTATGCATATCAAATCTGGACTGCACATACTATAGGGAATTATGTATGGTGATGGTTGAAATAGGCTTACACAGAAAAATAAAGATTACCACATTGTTCAACTAATTGCGCAGTAGTTATAAAAATGCCGCGTTCCCAGTATTTCCAACCATCACCATAACTGATTTTTGTTTCAATATTCGGAGAATCACACTTTAGTGTATCTGCAATCATGCCATAATCAGTAGACTAATACAAAACAAGACACTTGAAGTGTTTTGCCCACAATGAAACACAACATTTAGGGAATAGATAACATCATGTATGACACAATAAATACTTCTCTTTAACAAAAATCAATTTAAATTTAGTTGAAATTCAGTGAATTCTCGACTCTGAATGACGTTTCCACCAATATAAAAAGAGGGTCGCAAGTGCTTTAATTTCATCAAACAACTTGCAAACATTACAAAATCAACAAATCAATCAAAATCCACCAAACATGAAACTATTGGGAAGTTCGATTGTGTGCTTCTTTTTTGCTTTTGCAGTTTCCTTTGGTAAGCTACATATTTTGCTAATTCAAGTAGTATTTAAATTAACAAAAACAGTTGAAAATTTTTAATATTTTTTACTACCAGCAACCAGCAAGTTCTTGGACATTACAGAGGTGAAGTCCGAGATGGTGGGAAATCCGAAATCCGTAGCGCACTACATGGAGCAATTGCTGGAGAAGGACTTTGACCTCCGACCCTGCTGCCCTGGATGCTGCCTCATGTGCAATAACTGCCTTTGTTGCTGTTACTGTTCCAAGCAGGAATTTTTCGGCAACATGACCATCGCCCTTCGCAATGAAGGTATCATTTTACCCGCAGATGTGTAGAAAATGTGATTCTGTCAACCGGCCTGGCTTGAAGATTATAATAAACAATGTCTAATTTCTGTAAAATCTAATCAAAGCAAGTTTAAAGTGTAAATTAATTGGCTCAAATAAATTAAAATTGCTTATTTAAAGACGTGAATGTATTGAACTACTAAAAGTAATGTGATTTCTTCTACTTTGATTGAAACAACATGATTACATATTATGTAATGACAAGTTTCAATAGCATATCTTGCGTAACAACTCTTTCATTTCCTGTTGAAACTGCGGCAGTTAGCTCTAGCATTTCAATAAATGATTTGGCAGGTGACTTCTGAAAATGAGGGTAAAAATTATTTAGATGATTGTTATGAAACTTTTTAAGTATTTGTACTAAAAAGTTGAATTTCATATTCTTGCTAAATGGAATCTTCGCGTGCCGAAATCTTACTCCCTTCCATAAAACGACTGATTTATCTAAGAAGGGATTACTGAAAACTAGCTAGCCTTTTTGTTGCAGCTGCATTTTTACAGTTGAAAATTCCTGCTCCTGAGCACAAGCACTAATTGTTGCATAAATGCGTCATTCAACTTGTGATTAAATATATTTATTAACTTAGATAACAATTTGATCATTCAAACTGATTTACAATCAAGCATAGCGTCAAGTGAAGTAAAGGATTATACATAGTTAACTATGTTTGCGTATTGTATTATTATGATTTTTAATCTCTAGTGTTTATAATAAATGGATTAACAATAAAATTAAAAGATACCTCACTAGCAATATTAATTTTAGTAGCAGTAGATAAACTATTCCAGAATGATATTAAACGATAGTTTATATTTTTTTTTGAAGAAAGGGATAAAAATTCTTGGTTCTGGAATTTTCTGTGTCAACTCCGCTTCTTCTGAAAATACTCGCTGTGACATCGTTGCGAAATCTAACCGCTACTCTCTGTAAATAGTGTTACTTACTTTTGTGATAGAAGAGAATCTTATAAACAGATCTCTTTGGTTTTTATTGTTGTCACATGACAACTTGTCATGTGACAATTAACTAATTTTTTCGTTTCTTCGGATGCTTCTGCTGAATTTAAATTTTAATCTGCTTTTGATTGCATGAAATGCAAATTTCATCAAAATCTTATCATACGTTGGAGTGCGTTGTCAGAACTTTGCTCATTCTCATCCTAGATGGAGGAAATGGAAGTCTTGTGAAGACGTGGTTTTCGGGTCCCGAAAGGACACATTTTCGTACGTGTCACGAACTTGTTTTGCAACTGGTTATGAATTATAAACTCCATTTCCTGCCTGGATTGAGATACCGTGATTTAGTTACCTGACCCGAGTTCTCGATTAAATTCTAAATTGACACACCGTGCTAAAAAATTTAAACACTTCCGCCAACATAAATATGCGACTGGGAATTTTAACACAGACATTTTTACGCATTCCGTAAATCCAAAATTAACCAATGTACTTATTCATTATTTGTTTCACTAATAATAATAATAATAATAATAATAATGATGCTTTATTATACTCGTTTACTAGAACTAGTGATCACAAAATGAATTGCAAATAGAGGTGTCAAATCCGGATTTCTGAATTCGAAGTATCCGGTTTTTTTTCGGATTTCGAAGCTTCGAAATCCGGATTTCAATTGCTGGAAATCCGGATTTACTCCATATATTCAAGCTTATGGCGGAGTTGTTACTACAATTGAATATTACTCTTTCTGATCCATTTTTTAAAATAATGCTTTGTATTTAATGGAATTTATTTTTACACAATGGCAGCCCATAATTTAAAGATTTATTGAATTTGAGAAAAAAAGATGTGAAAAAGCATTTTCGATTATCCACAGACCTATTAGTTTGTTGCTTCTGGGTATATGCAATTAAATGCGGTAATGAGAATGCATTTTGCTGTATTTAATTAATGCATTATGCATATTAAAATGTTATTTATAATGTGGTTAAAGTTTATTTGAAAAATCAATGCCGGTAATGTATGTATTAACATTAATTTGTAAAAGCGGATTTAAATCCGGATTTAATCCGGATTTGAGGTCAGTAAAAACGGATACTTCGAAATCCGGATTTTAAAATTCGGACCGGATTTGACACCCCTAATTGCAAAGCAATCTAGCCTATTTTCGCGAGTTTAATAAAAACTTAAATTCTGAGGTGCAGAATTTTTGGCAGTAATCTGATTAAATTTTTATGGATGATGAGGAGGAAACTCATTTTGAGGAAAGTGAGTATCCTTCTCTACATTTATAACAAGAATATCCCAGTATCTGTCTGGGTGTGTGTACCTCTGTATGTCTGTAAGGAACGCATCCCTTCAATGTACATATGAGAAAATGACTCTTGAAGGAAAGCAGGAAGGACTGTGGGAGCAAGAACACGAACGCTCACGTAGGGCTCAACGCTAAAGATTGACACCAGAGGGTTTCACCCGTGGTTACAGGCAACTCTAACGTTCAGCCTGACCCTCCACGAACAGCATGGTTGGCATCGCAGGGTTGATCCTATGGTTGCATGTCAACGCTAACGTAGGAAAGAAATGCATCCCGTATTCCACACGGGAAACAGCCTAGTTATAATTATTGTGTCTAATCGCACAATTTTCCTCATATTATCAGCCTCATCATATTTGCCATGGATATGTATGTTGTTCATGTGAACTTTTCCACCTTTTCATTGCTCATGTAAAAGGAGTTTCTTTCTATTTTTTCCCAACAAGGCAAACAGATATATGCAGGACTAGCGAAGATTCTGTTAAATGCCAATTAAATATATTCACATGTTCCAGATGTTGTTTTTATTTCATTGCGACAAGCAAGGAATGAAATTCATTAGTGCGCTGTAAAAATACGTTTACATATATGTTTATGTGCCTGTCTGATATCGTTAGAAATAATGTACATATTTAGATGCAATCTAGCATTTATATTGATTAGTTCTGTACATAAGGAAAGTCACATAATTACATTCCCCTGTCAACGGAAACTCACACACAAACCACAAACTGGAATTTATGGCACTCAATCTTCTAGATTACATACATCCTCATGTATACATCTGTACCTATCTTCCACATTTACACTAATTAAGGAATATTAACTACATAAGTATGTGCAAGCAAGTAAAAAATAATTTTACTGCCCAAGTACCTTATTTAGTATCGATGCTAAACTTGTCATGTGCGAATGAATCAAGGATTAACTCTTGTCAATTTCCACATAGCTTAACATCCATGACAGCAATTTCATAATGATACGCAACAATTCTGCATGGACTTTGTGCATGGACCAAATTAAGTGCCGCCTTGAAAACATCGACACAAAATTTTCTACTCCGCCCGAGTCAGAGCTGTTGTTTTTTTATGGCGTACATTATAACCAGTACATACATCAATTCAATAATCTTGTGTAAACTTTACACCAGATTAAACTTTACACTGTAAAGTGTAATCTGCGCCTTATGAAGTTATGCAATACCTATTTGCATTCAGCTGTATTGGCTGTAGTGAACGGACAAACCGGTTCCACAACACTTGCTCCGTTCTATAGAATAATTAATTAAATAGTTTAATTTAATTATTTCCTCCCACCTCAAAGTTGGTTTCATATTTCATACCTCGCACACGACACAGGTACCTATATCAGAATAGATTTCTACTTCAACTACCTCGGATTTAATAAAAATTCGTCCAAAATGCGTCCACAGTTAAGAAACTTTATGTTAAGTCTCATCTCAATCTTTCTCTTGATTGTTTTCATTCCTCTGATATTTCTTCTCGTAATATTTCCACTAATTTTATATCGGAAAGTGGTCATATTTTTGGCCTCGTGTTTTAATAAATTCTTTTTGTAAAAAAACACTCTTCGGTGAGGAAGTAGTAGACGCGGACAAAAGAATAAAACAAGAAGTACTATTAGGTCGGAGATTATTGAGCTAATTTAAAATACACACATTTTTTTTACTATTAGCATGATTGAAAGGTTGCCTCACCGTGGGCTATCCATCTTGTAGAGAAATGAAAAAAATTGTCTTATATGTAGTGCGATCATATGAATCACTCATGATGAATGTTGCTAAACGGTAAAATTCCCGATATGTCTTGCATTTGGTATAAAGTAACCTATACTGTTCAGGTAAATTTAATAAGGTAAAGTTGTGTTATACCTGAGTCTAAGAAATCAGTGTGTAATAGTTTTTAAAAATTAAAACATTATCCATTTACATGAATTTATCCATTTATATCAAAATTATTTCAATGTGTAAGCTGCCATATCTTGTTCAATTGTAAATATTATCTAATACTTTTGAATAGGGAATTGTTAAGTAGAAGTAGAACACTCCGAGAAAAAGTGACTCGTCTTGTTAAAGATGAATAGCCCGCGGTGAGGCAACCTTTCAATCATGCGAATAGTAAAAAATGTGTGTATTTTAAATTAGCTCAATAATCTCCGACCTAATAGTACTTCTTGTTTTATTCTTTTGTCCGCGTCTACTACTTCCTCACCGAAGAGTGTTTTTTTACAAAAAGAATTCATTTTATAGTTTGTCGATGGTAATACCACTTTGAGGCGATTACACGAATGATGGGACAATGTGAGATTTTTATGGGCCAATGTTAGGTTTTCCTGGGGCCGTCTATTATTCTATGGCGTAATATGGGACTTTAATACGTCTCATGTCAAGATTAGAGCATGAATAATTGACCTGAAGAGAAGTATTATATCAAAATTCAATTATTCTCAAATTAAAGAAATTTAAAAAAATATTTATTCATTATTCCATCTGTAAGGAAAATTATTTATTCATCATTTATTGAGTTATTGAATAATGAATAAATAAATATATTTATTCATCATTTATTGAGTTATTGAATAATGAATAAATAAATATATTTATTCCCCTAATGAATATGAACAGGTATGGTCATGGAAGGTCATGGAAGGTCATCACCCTTAAATGTTTCACATTTTCTAGAAAACCATTAAATTTCCTCTTCCATGACACCCCATATGGAAATAAAGTGATTTATGACCTTTGACATGGCCTACAAGGTCACATGAAGGTCAAAGGTCAAAAATATTGACGGCATCGAGTTTTTGGTGTAATTTTCTTCCAAACTGGTGTCCGTATGATAAAATAAATTGTGCAAAAATAATTTGCCAACAGTAGGTATCGAACCCGGAATGCCGTGATTAGGAACCGCCTGCGATGCCAATTGAGCCATAACGGCCATCTAATTGAAGTATAATATTTACGAGTTATTATTACTTCTACTGCACCGGTTCAACTTTTTAATTGTCCCCTAGGTCATTCAATTGACCTTTCACATAAAAGTGCATTAGACCAAAAACATTGATAATGACCTGTAGAATCTAAAAAACTCCTATGTCTAATAAGAAAGTTTCAATTTTACGCTGAAATCAGCGACTCGATTTCCAGTTCTAATAGAAGGAGTGAAAATTTTCAAAATCCAAAAAAGACCACCTTGGGGAATGGAATTCTCTAATTATTTAGTGTTTAACTTTTTTGAACCGACGCATCGTTGTAAAGTTATCTTTCTGGGAGTTTTTGAGCCCTAAATGCATTCTGTAGGCTTCGCCGGGACCCAACTGAGCATATTCATGCTTTGGTTCAGTGAGGGGCCCCGCTTTCCGGCTTTCGCCTCACCTCAGAAAAATGACATTTACCTCCCCCTGAGCATCTGCAGCGGCGGGTTTGCTTGGGATGACATGTACGGAAAACCAACTTGCTCTGAGTGTATCGTAACTTATTTAAGGGGCGAGCACGACACCACTCAAGTAGTGTGCAGACTTGAGAAAGTTGTTCAAATGGTTTGTATACATAAATTATATTTGCCTTAAATAAGTCAATTACTTTTTATATTCCTATTCTCGGAATCCGAATTCGGTTTATTTTAGCATCCTGAACTTACATGCATTTTACACTCTTGGATGTCAACCCTATTTTGGAAGAAATCTACAACTTTTCAACTTTCGCAACATTTCACTGTAAAGCTAAGTATTCACCTCATGTTTTTCGCGTGAAAACACACTTTTCGGGTGAAAAGTGAAAAAATTTCGCCCCCATTTCGCCTCACGGTATTCACCTTGGAAAATATTTCGGGTGAAAACTTGGGACGGTTTTTCGCTCGACCGAAATTTATTTGATTTTTTCGGCTGAAGTGAGCCGAAAAAGTTTTCGTCTGAAAAACTTTTTCGGTCGAAATTTGGAGCGCCAATTCCAAATTTTGTTATCATTTCTCTCTTGGATATTCAGATTACGCATTTTGCAATTTCTATTTCTTCTACTAGTTTCGCAAAATTTTACACTTTAGTGAAGTTAGAATATAAAATCATTAAGAATGACAGGTAAGACAACTACGCGTAAGAAAACTGCTGATCGACCGGAGTCTACAAGACTTACATTGGATGTAAAACGGGCATTGGCAGCTCTGGTGGAAAAGTTTCCAGAAGTTTGGGATTTGACCCACGTCAATTACAAAAATCGAGATGCTCGAGAAGCTTCTTGGACGAAGATTGCGGCAGAAATGAATCTATCAGGTAGAATCTTTGATCTCTATTTATGTGCTCAAAATGAATTTGTTTAATTGAACTGGTTAAAATAACTTTAACAGCTGAACGTTGCAAAGCCGCCTGGGGTTCCCTTCAGGACGCTCTGCGATATCAAAGAACAGGAAAAAAGGGCCCATCTGGCAAAGGCAGTGAGGAGGACCCCTCTCAGACAGAATTTAATTTTGATGAAATAAAATACTAGAAGGGTGGAACTTGTGGGAATCCATGAAATTCTATGTGCTTTCCAAACCAAGTCGGACGTAAGCAGAGCAGAACAAATATATCAATCCATATATTTGAAGTCGGAAGCTAAATAAATGTAATAATATTTATATAATTAGCACGCTGTCCAACATGATCTTTTCATCAACTGCTACTGAAAATAACGACGACAAAGCTCCTCAATCAGATTCAGGATCAGACGAAGTCGAGTTGACCGAGAATTTAAACCTGTCTACTTCTAATAATGAGGATGACCCACCGTGCGGGAAATCGACTCCGGTTGCAGGAGAAATACGCCCTATCTATTCGCACGTAATTATTTATACATTATTACTCCATTTTAAAGTTTAAATTTTCCTTACAATCATTTTAAACTTTCCATCAGGTCGCAAAGCAAAAAAGGAGACCAAGCACACTAGAGAACAGCACTAGCGCATTGGTCAAGGGAGTGACAGATTTAATTTCAATGAAGAAAATGAAAACTGATGGGTCGACAGAATTGACGTATCACTCCATGTATGCAAATATGGACCGTATGCTGAAGAAACTTCCGGAAGAAGTTGTGGAGGATTTGAATATAACTTTCACTCAAGCCATTCATTCAGAATTAAAGAAACGTCAAGAATAAAGATTCACTCGTGTATTCAAGTAAATATGTAAACCTTAATCCATTCTTTAAGTCTTTAAAGATATTTCTATTGTTCACATTGCAAATAGACAATTTAAAATAAACTACTCTAAAAACACAGACGCCCGTTGCCAGTCTAGAGAACCTTGAATTGAATTTACGAAAGCTGATAAATGGTTTCTAATTTCATTTCCAACACTTATGTTTGGGTTTTGAATTTGTTGAGTTATGTTTGTGTTAAACATCGAGTTATCGGGGACCCTCATCCTCCAAGATCCTTCTACAAGTAGGCCGTCACTGTCCACATAATCCGCAAATCCAGGGGGAGAATAAATATCAGTACACTTTTTAAGGAGAAAATTATGTAGCATGCAGCAGGCTGCGACGACAACTTGAGCCCTTTCCGGTTTCATGAATAATGTTCGAGCAAGGCAGGCCCACCGTGCGCACAATATTCCAAACGAGTTTTCAATACAACGACGAGCTCTACTCAACCTGTACAAGTAAATTAAAATGTCTTCATTTTCAGAAATTAAATTTAATTAATCACATTGTTGTAAAGCCACCTGTAATTAAAAATTCTTTGCTCATCTGTTAAGCGAGCCCCCTTTCGAGAAGGGCAATACGGCTTCATTATCCTTCGTACCAAGGGGAAAGCGTCATCCGCCACAAAAAAGTACGGCATATTCTTTCCAAATACAGGACTGTCGTCAGGCAAATCCAAAAGCTCCCCATAAAGCGCACGCCCCAAATCACAGGAACGGAAAACTTGGCTATCGGACTCCGATCCATACCCTCCAACATCAATAAACAAAAAACGGTAGTCTGCAGCCGCAAGCCCCATCAACACAATACTATGATAACCCTGCGAAATCCAGAAAATATGTTTAATAAGGTGAAAAAAAATTGTAGAGCTATGAATTAGTATATGTACTTTATAATTATAAAACACACTGCCCGCACTAATTGGACATTTGATTGCCACGTGCTTTCCATCAATAGCACCAATTGTATTAGGAAAATTCCATAATCCATTGTATTCATTTGAAATTTCTACCCATTCTTGTTTGGTCGGCGGCTGTATATATAAAAATTTTGTTCAGCAACAGCTTTAATCCTATTGGTTTTCTTTTCGCAACACTTAATTTACAGTAGAAGCTAAATACCTTCATAAATGACGCCTTCAACTCTTCAAATATGGCACGACTAGTTTGTTCAATGATTGGACCAAGACGTTGTTTACTGATTCTATATGTTGATGCCACGTGACGCTGTAGAGACCCAGATGCCAAAAATCTAAATAACAAGCGATGAAAGATATACAAATTATGATAAGTTACCTATTCATTTTCAATAAGCTTACTCAAGTGGTACTGATAGTTTCTCTTGTGGACTTATAGCATCATGTGGACGGGTTGAAACTTTAGGTTCCAGCCTGTGTTGAATAATATTCAGCAATTGATCGAAATCTTGTGGCGACATGTGATAGTTCTCTTGAAAAATGTGTGGAGTAGATCTCATGTCGTCAAACTATTAAAACAATTTAATTCAACTTTAAATTGAATTTTAAATCACAAATAACAAAAATCAAATTACTCACGTCTTTGAAAAACCGTCCTTTAGTGCTCCGAAGCTGAAGGTACGGGTTCACATGATAATTTTTACGTTGCTTGCGCTTACGTCGTTGCAACTGTAGTGCCAGGGTTGTACAAGTTATCACAGTAACTAATTCAATGTCCGAGTCAGACTCCATTGTTTAAATTAAATGTTTAATTTGTGGATTCACAATTCAAATATCTTAGTGGATTTTGAGCTGAGGTCGTGTGTACATAAAATATTTCTAGAGGTGAATACCGCCACTTTTTCAGGCTGAAATTATTCGGAAAATATTTTGTTTTTCGCCCCAATCTCGATTTCCCCATCAAAAAATTTCGGGGTAAAAATTTCGACCGGAATTTTTTCGCCCGAAAAAAAATAGGTGAATACTTAGCTTAAATGAAGAATCCGACCCTGAAAAAATCCAACAATACTTGAACTCCCTACCAGAGAAATCGTTTACAAAAGGCATTCCGTTATGGGAATTCGTATCCCTTCCGAACTATTCTAACAGCAAATATCACACAAAATCTGCCCTGGTTTTGAGAATTCATCACAATTTAGGTGACGGCTTAGCGATTCTGTCACTTTTCAATGATTTCTTCGACATCGACAACTTGGAAAAAGAGTTAAAATGCAGGAAAAATTTCCCAAACCTGAATTCTTCTAAGTTTACGTTGAAAATTATGAAATTCTTTCAACTGGAGTTCGTTACACCGACAGAAACAATATTCCGATTTTTGAAAGGCAACGATTTCAATCCTATCAAAGAGGAGGACAGGAGCGGGGAGATGATCCGGTATCAAAATCTGATAGCCATCGATATGGCTGATCTGAAGAGAATCTCCCGCAGTTCTGGGGCAAATTTAACGTCCCTCATATTTGCCGGGGTTAGTGGTGCCGTAATGAAAACTATGAAGGCAAGAGGTGGAAATATTTGGCAAGATGCGACGTCACTTTATATTCTGCCCGGTATTTTTCCGCACGCTGGGACTTTAATGAATAACTTGTACGTACGAATATTAAATATATATTGATTATTTATCAAGTATTAAAGTTCCTCCTAAAAATCTAAATTTAGCAAGTTACCATAATTGCCAATCATCTCAACTAAAATGTGTTCACCTGTATCAATTTTTAGAATTATAGTCCCAATGAGAATGCCGATTTCGGAGGAGAACATGGAACGAAGATTAAAAATAATTTCCAACCAATTTCGTCACCTTGTCAACTCAACTGTTACCATTGGATTTTTCGTACCTAACAGGGCATTAGGACTAATTAGTGGTACCGTACGCAAACATCCAGAAACTTTCAACCTAGGAACTCTACTGCACTCAAATTTCGCTATTTTTAAGGAAAATGGATTTGAATTATTTGGGAATCCTGTGGAACGAATCGCTGCTATTGTTGGTATCTCTCTGAAATCATGTCCTATAGCAATAATTAACGTCAGCTACAATGGAAAAATGGGAATAGCAATAACGGCGGATAAAGCCCTGTTTTCTGGAAAGGATGAATTGATAACTGTAATTAACAATGTAATATATGAAATTAATGAAATTGGTAAGATTAAATTACAGAAGGAAGACGCTTAAATCAGCTTGGTTGCAGACATGGGCAGATTACTCTGTCAGATTACAGATTACAAATTACAAATTAGTAATTTGTAATTGAATTTCGTATTTTCAGAAATGTAATTGTAATTTGTAATTCCTCAATGTCAATCAAAATGTAATTGTAATTTGTAACTTGTAATTGATACAATGTTTCGTCCCGTTAATTGTAATTAAAATACAATTCAAATTACATATTACATACGAACTGCCTACACATGTATGTATTTCGAGGCTCCTTAAATCTCGCACCTTTGTAGTTCTGTTGAGCGGCACATTTGAGTTTTGTTGGCATTTCCTTGCCGGATTTAGTGACAACAATTAATTATTAACTCGTGGATTTTACTTGAATATTTTGGGTAAGTGCATAGTTGCATACAAATATGCTAATTAAAGAAAGCATATTATCTCATATTACCTAGTTGCGAGGGTATTTATAAAAAAGGCTAAATTAACAATTGCAAATGAAATGGAGGATAATGATGAGCTGCCTTTAATTCTTCAAGGAAAGTACTTTACTGTAACTCTGAGGGATGGCAACAAAATTTCAGCAAAGTGCAAAAATTGCAAAGGAGATGCCGATATCAAAGGATTACTTGATACCACCAGTAACTTTAAAACGCACCTAAAGGTATGGATGAGTTATTGGATATCAAGTGACAGCATGATTTGATAGCAATATTATTAATTTTTTATACATGCAGCGATGTCATTCTGAGTTACTCCCGGCGTACGAAAAGGATAAGGATGAAAACCGGAAACGACGGCGACTAGACAAGCCAAAAACTCGTCCTTCAAAATCTACATCTTCCATTGACAACATATTTCCCCTGGATAAACAAAAATCCATCTCACGACAAGAAGTTCTCCTAGTTGACTTTGTGGTGAAAGGAATGCATCCCTACTCGATTGTAGAAGAGCCAGGGTTCAGATCTTACGTCCAAAGTAAATTTCCGAATTTATAATTTCTCAATCACTTATAATAATAAGCTAGTTAACGATATCTTGTGTAATTTGATAATACAGATCTAAAGAGTGACGTAAAAATTATATCTCGGAAAGCTCTGGTTGCACGTATTAACGCTCGATATGACTTTATGCGGTCCACTGTCAATCTACAATTAAAAGGGGCACGCTATCTATGTATGCCAGCAGATGCATGGACATGTGATGGGAAAAGTCGGAGTTTCATGGGAGTCACAGCTCATTGGGTTAGTTTAAAACATAGAAAATACAATTTCCATGAACTTTTTTTATACTATCCTTGTTTGCTAAATAGATTGATGAGAATCTGCAGAGAAGATCAGCAGCCTTGGCGTGTCGTCGATTCAAGGGAACTCATTCATACGACAGGATTGCAGATTTGATGTTAAATATATTTCGCGAGTACCAACTTCCGAACAATAAGATCGTCAAGTGTGTTACCGACAGCGGCTCCAATTTTTTGAAGGCATTTTCAGAATTTAAAACTCCAACGGAACAAGAGCAGGAGGAAGATGAAAGCGACGAAGAATGTGATTACGATTTCGTCAACGTGTCGGAAATTCTTAGCACAGATCAAAGTGATGAAGAGCCGCCCCAGCTGGCTCTCCCGCCGCACCATGCCTGTGCAAGTCATAAGTTAAACCTTGTGTGTGCCGTTGACATTGTTAAGTCCAGGAAAGCAAGCAAGTTACAGAAATCGGCTTTCGCAATCAAGGTCGTCAAAATCTGCCGAAATGATTCACGATTTATGTGGAAAATCATTAGTTACACCAGTGCCAACCAGATGGAATTCTTTTCACGATTCTCTTACTGCTCTATTACAATTCGATAGCAAATTAGGGGAAATTTGCAAATTAGTTGGGGTTACGGAATTTAAACAAACTGAAATAGAGTTCCTTAAGCAATACTTGTCGTGCGTTCAACCTGTGGCCGCTGCACTTGATAGATTGCAAGGTGAATCAAACTCTTTTTATGGAGAGCTTATTCCAACGTTGTTGCAAATTGAGAAACAGTTAGTTGCTCTTTCTCGAGCTAAACCGGAACATTGCGAACATCTTCCAGAACTAATTCTAGAATCTCTCCGGAAACGGTTCAAGGAATACTTAGGTTGGTTTACCTAATTAATCTGAATTATGAGAATTTTTTGTGTAACTTGGGGCAAACCTTGGGATGATATAAGTATATCAGTAATTGTTCGACCCATAAAGTTTCTAAGAACACCTGACATGTAGCTGTTTGTACATATCGTCGTACTAATTCAGAAATGACCTATGGTCTGCTCATTTTCAGAAGAAACTTTTTCTGCACCATAAATGGGAATAGGTTTCTTCTAATAAAAAACAGACCATAAGTGCAGTCCACAGTTAATTAAGAAATAACCTATCTACTTACGGGACAGTGGATATTTTTAGCACGAAGGGATGCATCTTGTGCGTACTAAAAATATCCGCTGTCCCGTAAGTAGATAGGTTATTTCTTAATTCACTGTCAACTGCACTTAGGTCATTTATGAATTAGAACAACAATATGCTGCGTATGCACATATTAACTTACTTGTACAGCAAATCTAAACACCCAATTCCTTTGCCACTATCTTGATACACATTCAACCCAACCCCAATGTTATCCGTAGCAGCGAATTGAGTTTCAATTTTAACCAAAAAGACTGATTCAATTTTCTACCATTATTCGTGTCTAACTATCGAATTTCAAAACAATCCATAGTCAGAGCTTATTTAATTAGAATACATAACCTAATTTCGTAAGCATTAAAGGAAATCCAGTAAATTGGTATAAATACCAACACATCCATATAGACAACGGAAATGACGTTTAATTTGGCAGTCACAAGTGTGAGGATAATTTATACAAATGCAGTGGCGTGTGCAAATCACAATAAGCAAAGTCTAAACCCAAGCGTCATGTAGGTAAATACTTACATAAATTTACCAATCCGTGAACTACGACATATTCAAATATACACTCTTAACAACTTGATATTGAAAAAACGAGCCGGTAGTGATATGTTACCACGCTGGTATTGAAATAATACTTGGCGATAACCATTTTAATTTCTAACTAGTATAGTATGAGATAGCTTTTTAACTACGCAGTATTAATTTAGTACTAATTTAGCACAAATCAATACCGTGCTTATTGATATGTGACCACGTTGGTATTGAATGATAATACCATTTTGGTATTGAAATAATACTTGGCGATAACCATTTTAATACTAACTAGTATTAGATAGCTTTATAACTGCGCAATATTAATCTAGTACTAAATAATTTAACACAAATCAATACCTTGTCTATTGATTTTGTTAAGAGTGTATTCAAACATTCGCCACTGGCTCCTGATTGGATTTGCGACGGATATTAAATATCTTAGTTGTGTTAACTAATCAAACCACAGCCTTTCTAGGAAAATCAGTCACTTAGGTAGCATTTGTTTAGTTAAATATGAATATCATTCCTACCTATGTTCTTAATAGATCTTTACAAACATCTATTTATACACGCTTACTATTCCAGTAATACAGTCTCAGGACATTTATTTCATTCGGATTCCATAAATCCATAAATTTATTACATATATTTGTCTGCCTATACATAATAAAATCTGATAATTCTATTTCCTCGCTCTTACCAAGCACAGGGACACGGTTTGAGCTATGCAAAAATTTTGAATCACCAGCGGAGTCCCGCGGTCTATGAAATTTGTCCCGATT